GAAACAGACAGAAATTTCAGATAATTAAAATTAAGGGCATTCTGCTGATTTGGGCCAAAATTAAGGACTTTTAAGGACCAAAATTCGATTCCAAAAACCTAAAGACTTTTAAGAACTCTTAAGGACCGTACGAACCCTGAAATACTAATGTTCATGTTTCCAATAAAGTTTTTTTTTTACCTTGCACTGGATATGATGTCACACTTTTCTTTCGCATCATCTTGAAAACCACGGGTCATACAGGTGGGCATTTTAGGCATTTTTTATGCATTCCAAGCAAGAAATCTGGCTGTGCAAAAATTGGGTAATCTTGACAGGGTATCCTGCAAATCACTGAGGAAACAGCCTTGATTTTCAGGTACATAAGTAAACTTCAGCCCTCTTTGGCAGATAGCTCTCATATATTCTACCATATTCCAAATAATCTAATCATTTTATAAGCCACATAGAGCAAAATAAAGTGATTGCAGACTCCATAAATCATATTTTAAACAATGAAATATTAAGCAAGGTGACATAAAAGTTGGGAGAAATTTCAAAAATAAGAAGTCAAGAGATATTGTAGTGAATTACTTTGGTACGACTACTCGACGGAATGGCTCTTTTGTCACACATTCATTTTATTTGAGCATCAAAATTTATTAATAAATATAGTGCTCCACATCCATTGCTAACATGATGTATTAAATAATGAAAATTTCAATTTGTTGCACCCATGCCCGTTTGTTTCAAATCTGCATGTATGTTGCATCTGCACTTGATCATTCGGCAATAAGACGCCCATCTGACGATCTAAATTAGGATTTATTTTAGGGGTAAGGCTTATAATAGGAATATCCTGAAAAACCATACTAGGGTTATTTTCTGATTATGTATTTTTCGGGAACTCGGTATTCGCCATTTGTTTGTAATAGCCATTTATGCTAAGCACAGAGATGAAAGGACACTTAAAACTAAAGAGGGAAAAAACCTCTAGTCCGTTGGAGCTTTGAACTTCATTGTACATTTTTTAGTTGTTTTTCGAAGCTGTGTGTGGTTTTGAATGATGCACATATGAATTCATTGAGAAAATCAGGTAATTTTGGGTGCAAAAAAGGATTTTTTTTGAAGATAGTAACATTTCTAATTATTAACTACAGTAAGACTGAAATAGAACCCAGTAGATAGTTTTTTTTTTTTTTTTTTTTTTTTTTTTTTTTTTTTTTTTTTTTTTTTTAAATACAACAATAAAGAACCAAAAGAATTTAAACTGTAGAAAATGATCATTACGGCAAACTACAGCAATGGTTTATCCAGTACTTTTTGTAGTTCCATTTGTAATCAGTATTAAGTGTTTGCTACTGGAAATTTGGGAAAATGATGTTGGCTGGGACACTGAGTTGCCAGATTACCTTAAACTCAAGTGGAGTAACTGGTGTTTTACAGTTAGATATGCGAGACAAATTACTGTTCCAAAAAAATTATCTATGAATTTAATTCACAAAATTAAAGAAATTAAATTCACGAATGAAAGTCTACATATTTTGCTACACATATTCTCTTGTTCATGACGCTGTTGCATATTGTTGTTACTTTAATAATAAGAGCAACATTTCAGTGGTATCTGTTACTTCAAAAAGCAGAATAGCCGCTTTGAAGAAACTGATATCACTATGATTAAAACTAATGGCAGTGATCATAGGAGTTTGAACGGGAAGATACCTTGTCAATTTTTTTTAATGATTTTAATAAGTTTGTGTTTTGGATATACTTTTTTTATTGTTTTGTACTGGAATAAGATTTCTGAGAAACAGTGGATACAGTTTGTTAGTTGCAAAGTAGTTAAATACAGGAAAAATCAGTTCCTAGGTCTTGGAATCATTACAGAGGAAAAGATAATCATGCTGATTTAGTCAGTAGATTTAAGTCAACAAAGTGTTTGTTGTAAGACAAATGTTGGAGATACAGTCTATATTGGTTGAACATGTAAGACAAATGTTGGAGATACAGTCTATATTGGTTGAATAGAAAGATAGTTTTTGCTCTAAACATTCAGCTAAACATATTGCTTCGGAAGTAATAGAAATTTAAGAGAGAAAAAGAACTGTTGTGCGTAGTGTTGTGATTAAGAATTACATGACAGAGAAAATGGTACATAAAAATTTTTCTTTGATAAAGCTCCTATGCATTATTGCTTGGCATCTTAGATTTACTATCCACCTCAGATGATGATTAAACATGACTATGAAATCGCATTTTCTCCAAATAAGATAGCCAGCTCTAGATCATTTTTTGATAATCAATACAGTGCAAATGCAAGAATTCAGTAGAGAAACTCATTTAAAAAAGGAAAATCATCACACAGTAAACTCAGTACATTACAGAATCGATAATATAATGTTGTCACTATAAATATGGATACAAAATACATATGCTGCACTCAGAAATCAAGCAGAGACACTGGATTATTAATGCACAAGCAGCTATTCAAATCAGAAATGCATAACACACTCTCAACACAGAATAATCAGGTGATGGACAATCTTCCAATATCCATAGCGAATGCTGCTAGAGCTTTTTCAAAAACAGGATTTGGTTTTACAGGTCCTTTTCTACGTTAAGTCAAAAATCAGAAGTCTGCACAAATAAAGAAATTGTAGCGATCACATGTTTTGGTGAAGCCTTGGTAATTGCTTGCTTGTGTCACCATCTATTAACCCTGGTGAGAAGTGCTGCATCATATGAGCGGGACCCAAACCTGGGTTAATTTATTAAGAGTCAAATTCTCTACTGCTAGCCAAAAAGAGCTACGTTGTGCTAGGTTCAAGAATTCCAATTCTTTCAAATTTGCGAGCATTGAGTTGTTCTCGAGATCACTACAAGATTTAGCATTTGTACACATGCTAATATTTTTGCAAGAAATAATTTGACAAGCTTCTCCAGTCTAGTCTAATCTAGCCATATATTTAACTTAGAACAAATAAAAAATTTTTCTATAAGTTAGTTCATAGCTTTCATAGCTTGATGATAACTATCAGAATAATTTTAAATTAATGAAAAGTATCCTCTTCAACCAATATGTTTTCTGACATTTATTGTTTTAACCTAACAAACTTAAAACCATTAGAAACAAACAATTTTTGTGCTGTTTATTTTTGTAATAGTTATCATTGCTACACAGAAAAGTTTTAAAAATTCACAATTTAAAGACTGCACCATGACCTTAATTATAAATAATGCACAATATAAAAACTTAACACATTCGTATAACAAAAAATATTTCACAAGCATTTAAATTACTGCAAGATGTGATACAAAATAAATTATTTATCGTTTAGTAAAACTCAAGCAAAGAAAAAGAAAAAACATTTTAATACTTTTCCATTAAAGTCATAGCATGCATTTTTAGTACCATATTGTCTCCTTTTGGCTTATATCTTTCCCCACGCCTTTGGTTCAATACCAGACAAAATGGAAAATCAAGGACAAAGTAATGTTCTCCAATTTCACAACAAAATCCTCCAAAAACCCAAAGTTGTGGCCTAAGTTAGTTTAGCATGCAGCCTACATTCTTTTTTAAAGCCATTTTTATCAATTTCCTTGGTCTTGTAGCATCTATCACACTTAATGTTCGAACAAGATAACAAAGCACTGGCACATACCTTTCTCAAGTAACTATTCCAACCAACCACGCATTCATTTAAAGCAAGTTTTCGTTGGTAAACCTTAGTAGACTTAAACTTCTAATACCACATGTAAATTAATCATGTGGCAGTAACGAAAGGAATGCATGATTCAACAAACTACATTGGTGCTTCAAAATTTTTTTTTCTCTCTAGCATGAATGAAGGCTATAAGGCTTTTCAGCTTTGCATCACATTTTAATTTCATAATATGTTTATTAAAACAGAATCTTTGTTTGTGAAGAATTCTGTTTCTTTAAGAACCAGAATGCTCATTTTATTCTCTGTCTCTCTATCTCTCTAGGCAAATCCTTAGTCATTAAATTTATTACAGTTTAAAAAAAAAAAAAAAACTGATTATATGAAAAATGTGTCTTCTTGAACAATGATATAAAAACAATTATTGCCAGGAAAAAAGCCACATCAAATTGGGATTACCTAATGCCAAGGAAATAACATGAAAGAAATGGCAAGTAACAGAAAAGTTCGAATATAGTATTATCTGAATTGAATATTTTTAATTAGCAGAAATGAAACTGAATTTGTAGTTTCCACAAAATTACTTATGGTAGTAATTAAATCAAATTACAGCAGCCATTATACTAAGTAAATAAAATAGTAAACATAGTATACATGTATATAGCAGCATGCTACTGGTTCATCAGAACTTTTTAGCAGATAATAATGCACAGATAGGCACATAATAAAATAAGAGCTGTTACAAGCAAAATGAATGTCAACAAATGACACTGCAGAGAATAGAAACAGAAACTTTTCTTAAAATGCAAGGATCATTGCTGATGACTGAAATCACTTGCAAAAAAGTCTGCACATCGAGAATCTCAATCCAAATGAACCATGGCCACTCCCAGTTTCCTGTTTATAAGTTGACCGAGGGAAGAGTAAGCACTTCTGGAAGCTGCAAGAATAACTGCTCCAGCAGCTTCAAAAATTTATAGCCTGGAAACTTCCAGAACATTGGCATGTTAAGGATAAATCACCTAATGCTTCCAAGCACCACAGTACAAGTGTTTCAGCTTATATCTACAGTTCTACTTGAGTTATGCTTACAAACTGACATCTAATAACTTTATGAATTGACGCATAAAATAGATATTAACACTTACTTTGTTTATATGTGTCCATGTCTGAGACATCAAAGTACGATAATACATCATAAGGAAAAATCCTTTTCAACTGATTATGCAAACCAATCAACAAATAAAATTTTATTCCAAAATAAAATCAAGTAAAATACCTTTTAAAATAATATTTCCATGATTTTTAAGATATCAGATTTATGCATAATTACAAATACAATTAAATAATAATGCTTACACAGTGCGGTCAAATTCAAGCAGTTTGTCTCTGTGTGCCAAAGCATTCTGTAATCCTGAATCAATATCTACTGATTTATCAATATTGTCTTTATCAGAATCCTGATTCATTAACTTGTTATACAATTTGCATCCAGCTTTAGACTTGCGAATAATAATTTCTTGTTCTTTTGGTGTGCATACCTATAATTTTAAAAATTTGTATGGCTATAGAAATAAAAAAACTAAGTAACTAAATGAAAAATAATAACACTGCAAAATTTAACTTTTAAATACAAACTATTCACATACACCTTTATAATAAAATCAAAGCACTGTCAAAGACTACTCTGATACTGGAATGCAAGATACGGGTTGTTTTTAAAAGGTGGTAACAGCTATATTTCTTTTAACATGGACCCAGATATGTACTCCTAATTACAAAGTTCTTTAAAAGAAATAAGATGCTGAATTTAAAAGAGAGAGAGAGAGATAAGAAAAGAAAAAGGATATAAATCCAGAAAGGAAAAAATTAATTTGTGATCTGAAAACTTCTGATTATACTTCAAAGAAGAGTTTACTGTTAAAAATGTTTGTACTTTACGATTATTTGTGCCCCGCTGAGAAGTTGCAAAACAGTATTCATGAAGCAAAGCAGTATGTTGCCAAAATAGTTATATGGCAACCCACATATGTATGTTGCACATGTACTTTTCGGCTAGCCTGCCAAAGGATGTCACGTTTATGCAATTCTCCAATTTCTTTTTAATAAAAATGGATCACTAAGTAGATGGAATGACTTAGTGATCAGAGAGGCAGATTTTTCTTTTCCTTTTAAGTATGTGTTTTGATGCTGCTATTTTGAAAATTGATGTTGCATTTCCCATGTTATCTTGGAGAAAAATTAGTCAGCAGCAGATACTTAACTTTTTTAATTTGAGTGTGAATAATAAAAAAATAAGAAATTTTTTTAATCAAAAATTTTTTAATGTATCATTTTGTTCCTTAAATAAAATTCAATTCAGAATTAATTTCAGTTTTAAAAGCTGTGACATTTATTAAAATCTTGAAAAGGCATATTACAAGTATGGATAGAATTAAACATTAAAAAAAATGCTAGTGTGAGAGAAAGAAAAAATTATAAAGAGATTTAAAATCAGTTAATTATTACAAAATCCTATCACCATCATTCGATTTTATATTGGATGCGGAAAGCAAACAGTGTACAGAAGTTGAGCTAGAAAATTTGCAACTGACATACCATACTTACTCATATACTCTCCCTCTCACATATTTTCCTTCTAGTTTTCTCAGAACATTATTTCAAAACTTTTGATTCATGTTAACAATGTAAAATGTATGTACAAATAGAAAAGCATTTTATGTAAGTAAAAAGAATATTATTGAAACTGATAATTTCTCTGAAATATGTAATACTATAATGTTGTGTGTCATAATGTGCACATTTAAGCCATCTCTTCAGAAACAGCATACACTGTATAATTTTATCCTTTCTGTTTCTTTAAGCAATAAAATTAATAACTGAATTCACAATTTACTCTTTATTTTTTGATATTATTTAGTACTAAGTATTTATTAGGTATATTTATTATATTATATTTATTACTATTTACTATATTTATTATTATTTACTATATTTATTATACTAAGTATTTATTAGGCCAGTCTCTGCGAGTTCCGCATAGGTTTGTAATTTTTTAAAATTAATAAATGCTTTATTTACAGGATTTTTCTGTATGGAAAATACAACAGTTTTACTATATGGTTTTACTATATGGTTCTGCTACAGAAAAACTTCACTGTAGGTTGTAAGGTTTTCAAAAAATTTTGCTCCTTAGTTTAAGAAAATTTGTAACTGAAATCATACACAAGGATGAATGTTTAAAGAAACAGATGAATGTTTAAAGAAACAGAATCCATAAGTAATGTTTTTATAATAACCTGTGTTTCAGAAATCATTTTTAATTAGCTTTCCCCTTCATAATCCTTTTTAAAAAAAAGGTATAAAAAATATTTTTATTTTATCTCTTTTACTTAGTATGTTCTTTTTTTAATATATTCTTACCAGGAATTCAACAACTTATGAACATTGCTACTTCACTACAGTTCCTCCTTTTCAAGTAAAAGCTTATCAAAATTTTTTGCTTATAACAGTCAGTAAGATGGTACCTACTAAAAAAAAAATCTAATAACTTACACTATCATTTTTTACCTTCAACACAGCATAGAGTTATATAATTGCTCCACAAATTTCTTTTTAAAGACACATTTTTGTTTTTATAAAATAAATTCCTTAATCATAAATTCTGCCTTTTAAGACCCTAAGCTGCTTGTTGATTATATTGATGCTTAATTTAAAAACCACCAAAGAGGCAATGAAATGCTAAATGTGGCTAGCTTTTATTTGCCTATGCTGTATCATTATTGCAACCCTTCAGATGGGCTTTTCTTCCCAGAATTTAAAACACTTTTCATGTTCCATTCTTTTATAATAACTTAAATATGAAGAGTATTCAAGATTTTTGAGTTCGTGAATCTTCATGCTTAAAACTAGCATGCACCCTTGCAAGTTAAAAGTCACCTGTTTCTTCTGCCACTGGATGAAACAAGCACAGAATGATTTTTGAATACACAGTTGAATATTTTTGTTTTGGATCCTGCAGCCACATGATAAACCAACTTTGCACATGAAAATGAAAATCATCTGCAGCTCTTTAAGTCTTCCTCCTTGTCCTTACATTCAGTTGCATTTGCATTTGGAAATTCAATAAGTGGTTAACTAAATTCGAAATTTTGTTACCCATTTGAAAAATGAAACTAACCAGAAGACTAATTGTTTCAAAATACAATGCTAAATTTATAAGGGTGACCAAAAATTTGTGAATTATACAATATTACCCTTACCAAGTTTTAAAACTATCTAGTTCCAAATTTAGTGAATTTATGTAGCACAGAAAATTAAAAACCACTACCAAGATATTTATTCTGTATTTTCACAGTGCATTAAAATTGCATACAAGCTATGACCTGCATAACAGGAAATAAATTAAATGGAAGATTTAACTTAACAGTTGCTCCATTCATATAATTTGTAGTTGTTCCATTCTTAATTGCTATTTCTTACATTTAAAATTTTGATACTTAACCCTCTGAGTGGCAAGGCTTTTTCTGGAAACTGCATTAAAAATGATCGTGTGTACTCGATTGGTCTTTCGCAAAAACGGCAAGTATTTGGACTCTAACTACTTGAAAAGCGGGTGCCCCCACATGCGAAAATAATTAAGGTATTTCTCCCCTCCCTTGAATTTAGCGAGAGAAATTAGTTTTTCTCCCTATGGTATCTTCGAAACACACGTGGTTGCCAGAATGATATTTTAGCTTGTGTTTGGCTATTTTATATTTTTGATACTAACATCTACACTATATATTACCTCGTAGCTTAATCAGGATATGTGTCGAATGCAGAAATATAGTCAATTTGCATCATTAATAGAAACTACGTAATATGTTTTAAATTTCGAGTTTCTTTAAGGAATTGCTTCGATACTGGTGAGAAATTAATCTTGCATTCTTTACAGACATTTTCTGTGAAAATACTTTTAAATATACATAGTCAAAGGAATTATATAAGAACTTTTCCCCCTTGCATTCCAGTTTTTCGAATATATATTATGCGCAACTTATTTTAATATGATGTTTTAATTTAATTTTCAAATATTTTAAGTTTATTTCAGATTAAACTATTATATTTAAATAATTCTTTATATTGCATTATAAAATTATTAATAGTTAATTATTTGTGATATCATTTTCGATAACTTAAATTATTTTAAATAACAATTTTTATTATTAATAATTAAGAAAACGGAGTCAGATTAATTCAAATATCGATATCTGCTGGCAAATGTGTTCACTGGCAATTTAAGAATAGCTGAACTTGTTCACTGAATCCCCCCTTAGCTAACAATTCTTATAAAAGTTCTATCAGCGAACAACTAATGTTATATGCTGCACGTCAATGCTACATTCATAAATAAATTAAATAATGTGTTGGCCTGAATACAAGTTAGCTTCACATATATGAGTGATCCAACTATTTCTAAGTCCTTGCGCAAATTAGAAAAAGTAATGTAATCCTGAAAAATTTCAATTTTCAGATTTCATTGGAAATATCCATTTTGACAAGTTCCGTTGTGATGTCAATACGTAAGTCGCATAACTTAGAAAAACGATTCGTCATAAAATATAAACCTTATGTTAAGGACTTACGACTAGTTTCGACGTGACGTGTGTATGTACATATGTATGTATGTATTTCGCATAATTCAAAAACGATTAGCCACATAATGTTGAAACTTTCTGTATGGAGCTACTATAATATCTAGTTGTGCAACTCCCTTTTATATTGCAATCAGCAGTGCTAAAAGGCATTTTGAATTGGAAGATCATATCTCATTTTCAAACAAAATAAGTTTAAATGAAGTGCAGCAAAAATGTGATTAGTTTGTTAAGCCTACAAGGAAATTATTATTATAATTTTTTTAAATGTTTGCAAATTAATTAATTAATATATGGTTGATATTTCAAATGATTTCAAATATATGGTATTTATTTGTTTGTAAGTATTCTCCAAGGAAGACAAATAATCTAAATAGCATACCTTAAGAAACACATCAAACACACTTCCTTTTAAAAGAAAAATTAAAGAATAATTGACTAAATTTCCTTTAAATCTGTTTACAAAATATTACATATAAAACAAGTTATGTTTTCAGAAAGGCAATTTAAGGAGGAAAATATTGTTTAGGAATGAATATTGCACAATATTTCCCCCTTAAACTGTTTTTCAAAAAAATATTTGTGTAATATTCATTCTAAAGTAATATTTTTACTTGTAAATTTGATATGTTTAAATGTGTGTTATCTGCCTGTATATATTATTGTAAGGATTTTAAGTTTTACTAATGTTTATTTTGTTTTAAAACTTTGTTATCCTCTCTTATTTTTCATTTCCGGCCAGAATAAGCACTAGTAGAATTGTATACGCAAATGAGGTTGCCAACTGTATAAGTATTTAAGATATGGCTTTTAGCCAAAAGAGAGGGGAGAGACTTTTCGCTGCCTTAGTTCTCGCTGACATTTGAAGACATTGTAGTTTTTTACATTCCACTCACTACATACAT